TTTCCCATTTCAAGGAGTTGACTCAGCATGCAGTGCCATCAGCCAAGCACTGGAGCAACGCAAGTGGCAGGAACGCAGCTGGGGGAGCCTCATCCCGCAGCGGGAGCGGGCAGCGGTTCCAGCTCTGGCCACCGCACGACACCACACCTCAACTCTGCCGTGGCAATTTCCACTTTACTGACACAGGGCAACGTGGACAAGTTATTGCCGGTACATCAAAGGGCTGGAAAAAATTAATCAACAGCACCTCCGAGCTATTAGGCATAGAACGTAGCTAGATAAAATCATAAATAATGAAATCCTGCAAGGATGTTGCACAACGAGTATTGAGGCAAAGCTCATAAAAGTCCTCTTCACGGCATCTGAGCCTTTTCCTTCCACGGAAGGCATCGTTTTCTAAAAGCGATTTTTGTACAGTAAGCTCACACTGGGCAGAAGCGGGAAGGGCCCCAGCCCATGTGATGTCAGGATAAATATGTGGGAAGCCAATGCAGCAAAAACTTCAGCCAGAGGAATGTCTGGTGCAGAGCGACGCGGGAGCGGGCTGGCTCCCGGTCCCACCTTCGGCACAGCCGCCAGCGAGGCCCTCGCTGAGGACTGGGCTGAGCAGTGGCACGGCTGGGTACAGCGGGCCGGGGGCTGGCTCTGGCCATCCTCTGAGGGGAAACCGTCCTGACACTTCTGTGGGTGCGTCCTCCTCCCAAGGGTGCGCCGAGCTGACCTCTCCATCCGATGCAGAAGCAATTGTCCCGCTTCTTAATGCGGGATTTCAGCATCTGAGTGTATAGGAAAACCTAGTGAAAGGCCTTCGTGTTAGGCTCTGCAAGTTCATTGCAAGCAACAAGAGCAGATCTAGAGATAAAGATAATAGAAAACACTGCATTCCCTTGTCCAAAAGCCCGTAAATCAAAGCTTTGGCTTTTCAGTACAGCAACACTCTTGGACGTAATTGGAAACAGACAGCACCGATCTGAAACACTTCACGGAGCTGGGCCGGTGATGGCTCGGGCAAGGAGGTCCCCGGGGCTCCCCCTCCCCATTACCCAGCTGGCAGCTCTGCGGCACGTAGCGTTCGTGAGGCCCCGGCAGGTGCGAGGGACCGGCCAGGAGAACAGAGCTTGGCCATGTCCACCTGAGGGCGAGTGGGGTGTACATGGCTTTTCGCACGGCTGTGGCCGTGCTCGAGTGACCAGAGGCTTGACAAAGAGGCTTGGAGTTGGGGTTTTCATGTCCCACCTGGCGGCCCCAGAGCTGAAACCCTGCAGCACCCAGGCTGGGGGAGGTCTGCGAGGGGAGGCAGAGGAAGGGAGAGGGGCCCCAGAACCTCCCCCCCATCGCTTCGTCCTCCTCGACAAAGAGTCAGTTACTGGGTTTCTTCACTCTGGTTAGCGTTTGTTCCTCGGGGCCCTATCTGCGGTGGCTAAGGTGTCAAGTGTGGTTTGGACTCGGAGGCCACACAGCTGCCTAAAAGATACTTCCCGGAAAGCAGGGCTGGCACAAGACAGATGGTGAATTTAACTTGGTGACAGGCCTCGTACGCGTGTTCTTCTGTCCAGCTGCCATTGCTTTGGAAAGGGCCTAACTCAGACTGTAAAGGCTGCTTTTATCCCGAACCGTCCCCAAGAAGACCATAATGATATGGCCATGGATCAGTAATAAACAGTGAAGCTTGCCACGGATGGAGGAACTAGCACAGCAAGTAGTTCTGCAAAGCAGCGATGCCAAGCCAGATCAAGGCAGCAGAATTTATAGCTGCTATTATCTGCATGAGGTATATTTACGACTCCCCTCCACATTACTCCGATATCTTTGAATCTCACAATATTTGTATATTCATTCCCACAACATTCCTGTAGGTAAGGAATTTGCAAACAAGAAGCCCAATATCGGAGCCTCTCCGTGCCGCGTGGAGCAGCGTTTGGAAGGCGGAGAAACTTCAGAGTCCCTTCAGCAGCTACAGATACATCCAGGGAAATTAACCAAATAATGTGATGGAAGTGGTTGGGCTATCTACAGGGTAACTACCTCAGTTCCTCTGGGCTGGGCCGTGCAAGAGTTCAGGCTAGATGATGACAGTGAGTTTTTATCACTTTAAAGTAAACCTCAACTTGCAACCTAAGCAGTCCTGACCTGGGACGCCTTGATACAGAATGGTTGGAGGCATAGGAAAATGAAAGCACCCCAAGCCCTGAAGTTGGTAATAGTAAAATAACTCATAAGCAAAGTTGTATAACCGCGGGTTTGATCACTTTTGGTTTAAAATATTCCTGAAGTTCTGCCCCGAATTCCTTGACACCTGATTTACTATTCATTCCTCTGAGAAGCTATTGATCTCGCAGAAAACAGCAGAAGAGCTGAACACAGCAGATGGGGTACATGAGACAATACGCCTTTCCCGTTGTGCAGAAAGCTTTCACGTGGATATGAGGGGTTCATATTTTCATGCCATTTTTACCTAAATTCTATATGGTACGATCAATCTCATTGCATCCTAGAATGAAAACAACCCTTTGCTTTTCCGTGACCTTCAAGGGGAAGAAGCCCTTGAGCCGAGCCCGCCAGGCCGGGCCGGTTTGCAGGCGGAGGCTGGTGCCCGAGGAGGGTTTGCTGTCTGGTGACTGCCGCTTGAAATGGCTCTTCTTCTGCGGCCGGCTGCATGCTCTTGGGCAAGCGTGACCTCAGCTTTCCGTCCTACTCAGTGACGATAATTATTCATACTTACCTCGGGGGCAGGGGGGAGGTGAGCTTAATTAATACTTGGAGAGGCCTTTGAGATGCTCGGATGAAAGGCGATGTTGACAGACAAAATATTTCCACCGTGACTGTCAAATTGGTGTCCCCTGCACTTCCTCAGCGAGGGAAGGTTTAGGGAGCCGGCCGGCGGAGCCTGCCAGCCCCAGCAGCTCAGGGCGCGCAGGGTGAGCGCGCTGGGCCGCAGAGCCCGTCCCCGGAAAGGGGAACTCCTTCCACGCTCACACCTCAGCGTTACGAGACGATGTCCTTGCATCACGCTCACACGCCTGCCTCTTCCGTCTGGCTGTGTCGCAATGGTTTCCTTTTCCCCCGTGCGTTTCCCACCTCCCCTGCCCGCCGGCACCGCACCCAGCTGCAGTATCTGCAGTGTGGCCAGTGGGGACCGCTGGACGTTTCCTGTGCCCACACTAGATGTTATTGCACCGGAGCGACCTGCAGGTGACGGAGGTCTTCAGCTAACGCAGCCCTGCCAGGCTCATCGACAGGAAACCAGCTACGTTTCCTGGGCAGGTCCAGAGCACCATACTTCATACTTCATATGGCGGGGGGGAAGACACTGCTGAGCAAACCCTGCGCTCATCGTACGCAACGCAGCCTCCTCGCATCAACCTAAGGGAAGTCTGCCCCTCGCCTGGGGACCCCATCCTCGGACACTTGCGCTGGAAATCAGAACCGACGGCTTTGTCTAAGGGGAACTCGGTCATGGTTTTGGTCAAATGCTAGGGGTTTACTCTCAGAACTGGCATGAGCAAAAGGCCACAGTACAGTTTTTCACCCTTTACCCTCCTCCAGATCATAGTGGCCAAGGGCAACGCTTGCTGGGGCTACAACAGCCCACAGAGAGCGCACCATCCGACTGATGAGTAAAACCTTGCACCTCGGGTTTTCACAGCGCTGTGCTCATACGAGTTCATCTTGGCACGGGTCTGCAGAGGGGAAAACTTGTTAAAACCTGGGGGGTGGCTTCTGAGGCAGGAGCTGCTGTCCTTGCCAGCAGAAGGGGTGAGAGGAGCGTCCCGGGGCACATCGCTGCATTGGGTGCCCGTCCCTGCATGCTGGCGGCCTGTCTGTCTGGCGACAGGGACGCTGCCTGTGTGAGGAAGGTGGCAGTGAGCGTGTTCCCACTGGCTGTAATATTTGTTTACCTTCTGAGCGTGTGTTTTGTCAGCCGGACGGGGAGATCTGGTTTGCCAGCTTCCTCTCCCAGTTCTCTCTCTGACTGTGCACTGTGTGCGCCTGTCCGGCACGGCCGGCCTGCCTACCCCTCACTTTGCAGCAATCCCATCACAGAGCTGATCCTGGGGTTTTGCCATGCTGGTTCTTGCTGTGGCAGAGCACGGGGATCTGCTCGGCAGCCCCAGCCCTCACAGCCTCCTTCGCTGTGCAGAACTCGCTCTCCAAGCCCAGCAGCGCCGCACCTCCAAGAGAGACACATCGTGGTATTTCTGGTCCCCAAAACTGCCCAACAGTAAGACAGAAAAGGGTAAACCTTGTTCTCAGAGGGCTGCTTGTTTTCTGTCCAGCCTTTGCTCAGGAAAAATCCCCACCAAAATCAATAGCTCCTTTCCCCGGGTAGGAAATACTGAAATCTGACTCATGGGGTTTTATACCACACTTTGTGTGCCTAGGTTTGCCAAAGGGCAGCATCTCGTGCCCCAGCTAGCTGCCCTTTGAAGTAGCCCGGGGAAGGAGCGTGAGGGTTTCTTAGAACATTAAAAGTAGTAGTGAAAGTCACAGGGCTTTTTTCCTTTATACAATCGAAGACGAATTTGAGCAATAACCCTCCTGATTTCTCTGGGGGAGGAGATGTGACGTCTTGAGGTAAACCACACATCCCGTAACTACCACTGCGTCGTTTGTACGAGCTGCTTCTCCACAGAAGTGGCAGAACTGCTTTTCAGCAAAAGTCACCAAGTTTTTCAGAGGGGAACGATTCCAGTCAGAGAAAGACCGGGCAGCAGAAAGGAAGAAAACTCAACCACAATAAAGCAGCCATTGAACCTGAAAGGAAAAAGACGTCAGCAGCCCAGGCAGGGGCTCTCCTTTTCCTGGTATCTAGCGAACCATAATTATGTGGAAAGAAGCCGTGGGTGGGACTGTTACTTGCACGCTGAACTTCGTAACCCAGCACCATGACGTCGGGAAGGAAGAGCCCGCTCCTCCCCGGGACTTTGACCTGGAAACTCGGGATGTACCTCGGAGGTTGTCACGGGGTGGGCCGAGCCTCGGAGGAGCTCCTCAGATGTCCCAGCCCACCCGTGCTTCTTCCTTGGTGTTCCCCAGGTGGTGGGACCTGGGGCAGTGATGAGGCTCAGGTGATGCAAAGCAAGGAGCCTCCTCTGGAGCAGGGACGTCCTCCTGGGGAAGGGCACAGCAGGCACACAAAGGCCTTCAGCTGCCAGGGGAGGGAGGAAGGTCAGGAGGAAATAGTCAGGGAGAGCAGAGGAAGGGTCTAGGTGCTGTGGGAGCACAGCCACTTTGCTGAGAGAGACCTAAACGGGATTGCAAACCCACAGAAAGGATAACGTGTAGTTCCCAACAAGAGAGATGGGCTTGTGGTTCAAAGCTGCCCTGTGGAGGAGAGCCAGAGGGAAAGCTGGTACCAGGAGCTGCAGGTAAAGGCTGGGGCAGCCTTGCTGTAGGGTCCACACCTGGTGGAGCTTGGGGTGAGAAGAACACCTGGCTGAAACACCAAGCCCCTCTGAGGTATGAGATCTGGCCCCTCGGGATGGAAAGGAAGGGACCGGGGCAGCAGAAGGGAAATGGAGGCTGTGAGCTCCCTGAGGAGAGGCAGAACATGGACGTGGTGCTGCTCCAGACCTCCCAGGTCAAACCATCGCCGTGAGGTGGCCGACCAGAGCCCGGGACAGGGACAGGCCTTCAGAGAGCTTCTCAACCCCTTGCCAGGTCATGCTCCACCCCTCATCTGTTTAAATAAACATTAGCAGAAGAGCGAGGTGGCCAAGGAATGACTACAGGCAAGGTCTGAGGTGTACATCTGGTCTCTCTCCAAGTCTGTGACTGAAATAGAAGTCTAAATATATCTGCAGTTGAGGACTGAGCTGTGCTGTCCAAGTTAAATAAGGATACACAGCCCGGGAACGGCGTGGAGAGCTCTGGGCTGGGTCTCCTGCTCGCTGGCAGGCCTGCGCTGAGGAAGCACCTATTGCTGTTGGCTGTGCTGTAGGTTGCTTTTAGGATCTGTCAGGGCGGCATTTTCCTACTCCTCTCTTCAGCTCCGTGAGTGCTGGCCCCTCGCTGCCCTTCTGACCACCGCTCTTTAAGCAAGCTGGGGGGGAAAAAAGGAGAAGTGGTCGCTCATCTTGTGGATACGACTCCCATTCTTCTCAGCAGCTTCCTGGTGGGGCAGTGTGGGGACTGTCGTTTGCCTGGGCCTAAAGGTGAGGATAAATGTAGTTTTGGCATCCTGGCCATCGGAGGCAAAGTACACGCTCCACAGCAGGTTCACAAACACCCTTCCCGAGTGGCAGGACCTTTGCTCTGGTGCCGGGGGGCTTCAAAACCTCACCCATGTCCCGTTCCCTGCCAGCACCCCCAGCCTGGCTGCGCCCCCTCCTCGAGCCGCGGCCACCCAGCCCCGTGTGGTGGGGCAGCCCACACGGCTGCCAAATGCTCTGATGGTCCCCCGGTGTGTTCCCGGGCATGTCAGTAGGCTCCCTGAGCCCGGGGATGCTTAGGTGGCTGAACCTACTCGTGTTGTTGGAAGGGTTCTGGCAAACGTTCAAGAACAAGAGCTAAGACAGCCAGTTCTCATTTGTGGGCACGTCCCTACATTTCAATGTGGCAAACCTTGTGATTTAGCAAGTGAGAGCCTTCTGCCCCAGGGCTGTTAAAAGCTTTTTTTTTTTTTTTTTTTTTAAAAAAAAAAAAAAAAAAAAGAAAACAAACCTGTCAAGACTTCCAAGAAAATGAGAAAAACACAAGCATAGATGGGCTGCAGGACTTGGACCAGATTTCTGAATGTGCCTACACGAGGGGAAAGCTGCAGGCTGAAAGCTCAGTCCTTTGAAAGCTGCTGGGGGCTTTTCGCTGTGGGTTTTTGTTGCTGTTGTTGTTGGTTGTTGGTGTTTTGTTGTTTTTTATTTTGGACATGCTTGTACTTATGGAAAAAGGAGGAAAAATTGCCAGAGGCTTTCGCTGCCATTGTGAATAATGTTTTGCTCTGAAAGTGTTTCATGCTTTTCTCCCCAAAGTGAGCACCTCACTGTCTGAAGTGGAACATGCTGGCTGGTAGGACACTGCTGATCAGTGGAAAAGGACAGCTTTAGTCACCCTGTTCTTAATACCTCCCGTGCCCACCCTGCCCCAGCATGGGGGGCGCAGCAGGTCCCCACGGGCTGCACATATGCATGGGTCATGAGCCCACGGGTGACGTGTACGAGCCCACTCGTGTCACGAGTGGCAGCAGCCTTGTGTGGAAGGAGAGCGACCTGCCACCTCTGTGGGGTGCTGTGGCTGGCTGTCCTCAGGAGAGGTTGGTGGCATTCAGCCTGGTGGCCTGTCCCCTTCCTGCAGCCACCAAGTCCTCCTGCTCCCTCCTCTTGTCCCCAGCATCGTGGCTGTCACTTGTCCCAACCTGCACCTCTGTCAGTGTCGGTGACAGAGTAAGTGGGGGTGCTTCTGTGGGGCTGGGCTATGTGTTTATGGCTTCCTGGCTATTTATTTCTATGCAGTCAGTGGCAGGAGCCACCTCCCCTGCTTGGACCTCTTTGCTCTTGCAGGTTTAAGAGCCTACCCCTGAATACCTGTCCGTGGGTGTCAAACCAGGCACCTGAAGTGAGAAGCCATTAAAAAACCCAATAAACCGAAAACGGGTAGTCTCCCGTAATCCATACACAACAATGTCAGCAGCAGAGACCTGTGGCACGCCACTCCGCTGCCGAGCCAGAAGGCCACTGAGCAATCTTCCTCTTTGTTTTACAAATAGGTATAGCCTTTTGAAGCAGGATCAGTTGTAACATATTTATTGCGAGAATGAAAGACAAAAAAACACCAGTCTTTGCCAAGAGCAAGTGAAATGGGCATGCTTTTCAAATAGCTACCACAGGACTGATTACCTTTCCAAGTAATTAAACATTGTGAAAGGTTATTAACGTGTTGATAATAGACAGCTTTGCAAACTGCCAGCACAGCACGATCTAGCAGACGGCGGCACGGCAGAGAGCAGGAGCCCTCCTCGCTCCTGGGGGGCTTGGCGGAGCCCCAGCACCCCAAGGGCTGGATGTGCCCGACGGGGCCGGCCTGGACCCGGGCAGCCCAGGAGCGTGGGGCCCCCAAATCCCCACTCTGAGTGACGGCAGAGGAGCTGGTGAGACGGTGGGCGGCCTCCCCCCGGCGCTCCCCCGCGGCAAGGCAGCAGGTGCCTGCCAAAACCCGGGGCCTGCCGGTGCAGGTTACCGCGTATTATTTCTCTTCAGACCGACTTGCACCCACAAACACCGTCTCTCGCTGTGAATCCTCCTGGTATTTTAATGCGTGTTATTAAACCCGCGTGGGAAGCGGGCGGGCTGAGCTGCGGGGTGGGTTTGCTGCAGCCGGGGCTGCAGGCAGGATGCAGGTGGAATTTAGGCAGGATTTAGGCAGGCAGCACGGAGCCTGTGCCTCCAGACGGGTCTGTTGCCACTGGGCCAAGGAGGAGCCAAATGGGGAACCTGCTGTGGAAAAGGAAAAAGCAACAAGTGTTTTTTTTTTTGTTTGTTTTTTGTTTGTTTGTTTTTTTTTCTGGAACAGCTCCTGGGCAGAGGGAAGGCAGGTGGGTAAACAGCGGTGCCACAAACGCCAGCATGCACCCGCTGGACAGGGACTGCCCTTGTCTGGAGCAGCCACCTCCTGGACATCCCCTCAGACCACAGACAGACAGCTCTGCTCTCCTCCTGCTTCCAAACATAGCAGCAAGGGAGAGAAGGCGGGGGACAGAGAAGCGCAGGCCGTGGTGCAAAGATGCACCAACATCCCGGTGACAGCATCCTCGCAGCCCTCTCAAAGCTTGCCCGGCAGTGGAAGCGCTCGGGATGTTTTGCTGCTGCCCGTGTTCGTGCTGGTGCAATGCTCTGCATGGCTTTGAAAGAACTTGGACTGCTTTTGCGTGTAGCTGAGGCGTAACCTGTGCTTCTAGGTCACTGCTGCCTTCAAAAATGCCCGTCTGTGCTCACGGTGAGCACACCGGGAGTTTATTATGGGAGGTGTTCAGACCGGGGCATTTAAGAAATAGTACATAATAACAGTCTCCGCCTCGTGTCCCAGACAATGTGGCCGGCATCTCTGCTACTTAAGTGTCATCAGGATAAACGCAGCGCCAGGCAGATGGGGCTGGCTCACGTGTTCCTGCTCCGACACTCCCGGGCTGCCCCTGGGCATGGGCAAAGAGCATCGCCCTGCCTCGTGCACAGCTCGCGCTCTGCAAGCGTAAAAAACAAGGAGCTGGGTGTTCAAATGGAAGCAAACAGCCACTCATGGATTCAGGCAGCCCCTCTGCGGTGTGAACGCTCTCCACGGTGTGGAAAAACACCACGGCAAGCGTTCCCAGCTCGGGCTCTCAGCCTCCTAATTGCTGCCGGAATCCAAGCAGCCGGAGCCTCCTTTGCCTCGCAAGCATCCCGGCCTGCCCTGGCACCTGGGCTGGGCTCCCTTCGTCTACGGCTCGGGCAAGAACGGACGGGGCCGGCGAGCGTGTTGCCTCTTGCTCCGGGAGCAGGGCGCGCGTTGCGCAACGCGGCCGGGGCTGCGCGGGTTGGACACGCGCGTGTCGGGGTGCCCCGAGCCCGGGGAAGGTGTTATGGGCGGGTCCCAAATACCCCCAAATGGCCCCAAAGTCCCAAATGGCCCCAAATGGCCCCAAAGTCCCCCCCCCCCAAATGGCCCCAAATGTCCCAAGTGCCTCCAAATGTCCCAAATGCCCCCAAATGTCCTGAATGCCCCTAAATATCCCAAATGGCACCAAATGCCCCCAAATGTCTCCAAATGGCACCAAATGCCCCCAAATTTCCCTAAATGGCCCCAAAGTCCCCAAATGGCCCCAGATGGCCCCAGATGGCCCCCAAGTCCCTAAATGGCCCCAAATGGCCCCCCAAATGTCTCCAAATAGCCCCAGATGGCCCAAATGCCCTCAAATAGCCCCAAAGTCCCCAAATGTTTCTAAATGCCCCTAAATGGCCCCAAATGTCCCCAAAGTCCCTAAATGGCCCCCAAATGTCTCCAAATAGTCCCAAATGTCCCAAATGCCCCCAAATGCCACAAATGCCCCCAAATGGCCCCTAAGTCCCCAAATGCTCCCAAATGCCCCTAAATGGCCCCAAATGCCCCTAGATGTCCCCAGATGTCCCAAATGCCCCTAGATGTCCCCAGATGTCCCAAATGCCCCTAAATGGCCTCAAATACCCCTAGGTGTCCCCAGATGTCCCAAAAGCCCCCAAATGGCCCCGGATGTCCCCAAATGTTTCAAATGCCCCAAAATATCCCAAATGCCCCAAGTGCCTCCAAATGTCCCAAATGCCCCTAAACGTCCTCCAAATGTCCCTAAATGTCCCCAATACCTCCCAAATATCCCCAAATACCCCCAAATGCCCCAGCTGCCCCCACACCGGGCAGCGCCAGGCGGTCACTCCTCCCCACGCCATTCGGGGATCAGGCTCCGCGTGGGGCAGGACGTTGGGGCAGCGGTGTGGTTTCGGGGTCCCGGGACCACCCCCCCTCGGGACCACCCCCCTTCCACCTTCCCCCCTCTCTTTCACCCCGCGCGGGCGCGGCCCCTTTAAATCCCGGCCGCGCGGAGCCAGGGAATCCCTCTCGGCGCGCGTCACCCGCGGCACGGAACCCCGCGCTGGCGTAGCGCGACGCAAATGCCCATTTTTGGCAACGTGCGACAGCGGCGCGTACCAAGCCGCACCTCCAGCGGGGGGGGGGAGGAGGGCAGCGCGAAACCCTCCCCGGCGCTTCCACCACCCCGCGGCTCTCAGCGCTGCTCCCTCCCCCCCCCCCAGCAGCGGGGCGCGGTGGGAGGCTCCGCGCGGGCGGGGCGGGGCGGGGCGGCAGCGCCGCGGGTTTGACGTGCGCGGTGCACATGGTGCGGCGGCGGCGGCGGCGCGGGGCGGCCGGATAATAGGGCACGGAGCGGGGCCGCGCCGCGGGACGGAGCGGAGCAGAGCAGAGCAGGGGCAGAGCGCGGCGGCCGCGGTTATAAAGGGGCGGCCGGGGGCGGGCAGCTCGCTCCGCCCGCTCCGCCCGGGGCCGCGCCGCGCCGCCGGAGGGGCGGCAGTGGCCGTGCGGCGCGCAGGGAGCGGGACATAGGGGGCACGGCTCGGCTCGGCTCGGCTCGGCTCGGCTCGGCAGCGCTCCGGCAGCAGCGTGCGGCGCTCCCCTGCCGCCTCCTCCCCGTGCCGCGCCGCGCCGGGGAGCCGCTCCGCACAGCGCTTGGTTTTTGGGTTTCGCCTTTTTCTCCCTTCGCCCCGCTTCGATTCCCCCTTCTTCTTGTCGGTTTTGAACTTGTCTCGTTTTCCTATTTTGTCTCGCCTTTTCACCTTTCTTTTCCTTTTTTCCCTTTTATTTTTTTTCCCTTTAATCTCTTTTTAATTTTTTTCTTTCTTTTATTTTTTTATTTTAATTTTTTTTCATTTCTTTTTCCTTTTTTTTTATTTTCCTCCTTTTTCTTTATTTTTATTTCCTTTATTTTCATTTTATTTTCCTTTTTTCCTTTTATTTTCCTTTTTATTTTCCTTTTCCTTTTATTTTCCTTTCCTTCTTCCCCTTCTTCCCTTTCCCCCCCTTCTTTCCCCCTTTATTCCCACTTTTTTTTTTTTCTTTTTTTCCCCATTCCCTTTTTTTTCCCCCCCTTTTTTTTTTTCCCCTCCCGCCCCAAAAAAAAGCCCTTCCCAGCCCCGTTCCCCATCAGGGGCACTCGCACTCACACACGCTCGCACCCAGCCACACCAAACCCGCGGCCAGGGGGCGGGGAGACGGCGGAGGGAGCGGCGGCTGGCGGTGCGGGAAGGCGGGGACGCGGCTCCCCCCGGCCCGACCTCGGACCATGTACCAGGACTACCCCGGCAACTTCGACACCTCCTCCAGAGGCAGCAGCGGCTCCCCGGGACACCCCGAGACCTACTCCGGCGGCGCAGCCCAGCAGGTAGGGCCGGGGCTGGGGTTAGGGTTAGGGGCTGGGGTTGGGGGGGGACACCCCGATTTTCGCCCTCGCCGCCCCAAATCCCGGCCGGGGGGCTGCGCTGTGCCCCAGGCTGGAGCAGGGCTGCGGGGCGCGGCTCCGCTCTCTCTGCCTCCCCTCCCTCTCCTTCACCCAGCCGCTTTTTGGGTTTTTTTCGCCGAAAACGCCCCAAAAGCGGCTGGCTGTGCCTTCCAGGCGTTACACAACGGGGCCGGTTATACAAACGCGGCCCATTTCATAACTTGTTTACATCAGCCGGCCTATCCCCACTCCGGGGCTTTTTTTTTGGGGTGGGTGAGTTGCTCTCCCCCCCCCTATACCCCATTTCTCCCGGTGCTGGTGCTGTGCGAGCAGCCCCGGCGCGGCTCCGCATCCGTATCCACAAGTCATAGGATCGGTTAAAAAAAAAAAAAAGGGAGGAGGAAAAAAAAAAAAAATTAAAAAAAAAAAAAGTCCGGCACTAAAGTTTGCCAACCGTACCAGCCCGTGACATTCCTCGCCTTAAAGAAGTTTTACCAGAAATGACTCGCCGCGGTTCCCAGCCGCCTCCCAGCGCATCTCGTGGGTGCCCTCTGCGGGCTGCGCCGAGGATGGAGGCTTCCAGGGGCTGCCCCCAGCGCTCCCCCGCCGGCTCCGGGACGAGGTGGGCGAGCAGGGAAGGAAAAAGCCGAAAAAAGCTGGAAAGTCGAGGCTCGCCCTCCCCTCTGCCCGCCCAGCCCCGGCACCGGGGTCCGGCACTTGCTCCAGGAGGCTTGGAGAGGCTGGGGGCACCCAGCCCCGAGCTGACCAAAGGCACTGATGGCTGTTTGTTGATTTATTTTATTTTTATTTTAACTTCTTTTTGCTTTTCCCTCTTATTTTCTGGTGCTGCACGTCCTCTCCAGGCAGCTGGCGTGCCCAGTTTCCAGGGTTGCTGCCCGCTCCGGGGCTCGGCGCGGGACGCCGGCTCAGCGCTGCTTTCCCTAAGAGCCTGGGCAGTTTCTCAAGGCCCCCGTCTTTCCCCTGATCCCTGCAGATGTTGTAGATTAGGATCAAATGCGAGTGTTGCCTTTACCCTAGGAACGGGGCTGCTCTGCTGCTCCTGGGCTAGGGGGATCTGCAGGGCTTTATCGCCACAGAAAATATGCATTGTAGAAATTTTTTTCTTGTCTCTCTCTTTTTTTTTTTCCCAAAGCAAGGAGAGATGCATCAGTCACATGTTTGAGTGGAAACTGTGACTCGGAGCCAAAACTTTGATGCTTTTTAATTATTTTTCCCATAAAACGCAGCGCTGGAACATTTTGCTTTCAAGTTGCGTGTCACGCTGTATCCCTAATCGCCGACTTGCCGTGTGCTAAACATAGACTTGAATAGGAATAATTGGTGTGCTTTTCCAGACGGGCCGACTTTCCCCTGAAATACCCCCGTGCGGTGTCCGGTTCTCCTTCCAGGAGACGGTCAACACGGGCGGGCTGTCGGGGGGCCTTTTATTTGTTACGGGATACGTCCCATACGCTCCGGATTTGATCATCGAGTGTTTGTTGAAGTCCCCCTGGGTGGATTTTTCTGGTATTTTTGGGGTGTTTTTTTTTTTTATTTTTTATTTTTCCCTTGGCTGCTTCCGAGCTGGGACGTGCCCTTGCCGCCTGGCCCTGCCCTGCCTTGCTGGAGCCTCCTCGGGGCCAGCTCCTCTCCAGTCCCACGTCCCGAGGCAGAGCCGGGGCTGAGCTCGGGCTCTTGCCCCCTTATCAACAGGACTCCTCCTCGGTCCTCGTCCAGCTGCTGCTTTTTTTAAGGATTCCTTCTTCTGTCTGCGTGCTGTGTCTGTCCCGTGGCACCGTCGACACGGAGAGCGGAGCCGTGTCTCCGGCAGCCTCTCCTGTGCCAGAGCAGGAAAAGCTGAGGGCAGCAGCCTTTTGGGGTGGTGGCGTGGTGTCCTTGCAGGGCAGCTTTGTGGGGAAAGCCTGGCCGGTCTTTCTGGTGAGGAAAATCCAGCTGTGGCCCAAAGTGCCCGCATCTGAAGGCTTATCCCGTCGCAGCAGCGTGCCCTGTAGTTATCAGGGAAAAATACGGCCCTTGGAGTGTTTGGGGGAACTCCGTGGGATATTTTGAGGGATTAGGAAGGAAGCTGGTGGCAGCGATGGGGCATGGCACAGGCAGGGGCTGCATCCTGCCTGCTCTCAGCCCCAGGCCCGCGGAGCTGCAGAGGGATGTGGCTGGAGACTTGTGCTAGGGATAGGAGAGTCCCGGGTCAAACGCAGGAGTGATTGCCTGTGGAGTAGCCGCTTTATTAACAGCGTGGAGCCTGGTGTTTGTGTCAGACGTTTGTCTCGTGTGCCTGCCTCGGTGATGGGGCTGACTCGCCTGGCCCCTGCTGGGAATTTGCAGCAGGGTGCTGGAGGCTCCGGTGAGGTGGCGCCGCCGGGGAGGGCTCCTCTGGAGCCGTGTCTGTGCCCAGCAAAGCACCAAGGCACCTGGGTGCGTTGTGCAGCCAGCCACAGCTCTCGGGTGTCGCTGCCAAGAAGGCAGGGCTCGCCCTTCTCTGCTTTTTGGGTGCAGGAGGGCTGATGGCGCAGGTAGGTTTGAAAAAAAAAAAAAAGAAGAAACAAAAAAAAAAAAGTGACTCGTGGAGCTGGAAGCAGAACTTGCATCTCTCGACTTGAGCACCTGTGGTTTAACTAGCTGCGTGTTTCCTTCCTCCTGCGAGGCTCGGGTCCCTCTGCAAGGGTGTCGTGGCTGTGGAGGCACCGGGGCTCCCTCTCCTGTGCCGTGGGGGCACGGCCAACGCTGGGCAGCGCAAAGAAGGGGTTTTTCACCAGGAAATTCCTCTGCGGTGTTTACAGCTGGCGGCCCGGGGCCTCCAGAGCCGGCTGGGAGAGGCCCGAGGATGGCATTTACAGAGGCGTGGGGTGAGCTGAGGCCGTGCCAGAGTCCAGCTCCAGGTGAACCTCTACGGTCTTGGTGCCGCTGCCACCCTGCCTGCATCCTGCCCCCCTCCCGCCTCGCTGGACACATCCCTGCCTTCTCTTGTCCTTCCTGTCTAGGTTTAGGGCTGTCCAAAGCTGCGAACTGGCATCTGTCTGTGTACAGTTTGGATCTGCTCTTCTCCGGGCCTTGGCAGCTGGACTTGTGGCTGAGGCTGGCCCCGGCGCTGTGGCTATCAGCGTGTGGAGCTCTGTTTGCCGTAGCCTCGCTTTAACAAAGCGCTTGGCCAAGGTGCTTGGCCAGGCACACCCTGAAAAGGAAACCTGTGTTGGGAGAGCTGTCCCTTATCGGGGACGCTTACCTGGGCTGAGGTCAGGCTGATGCAAGGCCCCTCGCGTCCCTGGGAAGCCGCTGTGCTGACCCCAGAGCGCGCGTTCCTCATGGGACCACAGCAGGGCTCACGCTGCGGGCCCTAGGAGCCCCATCCCTCACAGGGTGAGCGAGGCATGGCTGGCTGTAAAGCCTACTCTAAGCATTGAGAGTCTCCTGAAGGGAGTTCTTCGCAGACAAAAGCATTCCTGCTCCCCTGCTTCCCCCTCCGGGGACAAGCAATTGTTTTCCTGGCAGTGCAGTGCCAGCACATTATCCAGATGGATTTACCTCTGTCTGAAACAAGGTGTACGCATATTTGGGAGGCGATCATTACCTACTGCCTTGGTTTTACTGCTGCCTTGTTTTGTCTAGACAGTGCAGAGAGCTGCAGGGAACTTGTCCGATCTCCATCCCGAGACCTATTTTATAGGCTGCTATTAAAATACAGATCCCTGCACGTAACCATCCCTGGGCCGGCTTCCTTGCGGCGAGCACGGAGCCACCGAGCGAGAAGCAAGTGGCCACGCTGCCCATACCGAGCCCGAATTTTGGGGGAATCCTTGGGTGGAAGGCTTTGCTCTCCGCTCGGTAACGGCATTTTGGAGCCCAAGTTTCTCTTCCTTTTCTTTGGACTGGCAGAGAAGTGTTTTTCTAGAAACTCCTTAATTCCCCTTTCGCCCCGCGCCGGAAGGAGCAGTGGGCCCGCACGGGAGGCAGCTTTGGGGATGCTGGGGGAGACAAGGATGGGGCTGGGGGAGGGCAAAGACTGTGGTGGGGGCAGCTCGGGGTGCTGCACGGCCACCAGCAGCGGTGCCTTTGCTTCAGGCACTGCTCTGACCCTCACCGGTGCCGCTCCTGAGGGCCTGGCTGGTTTCTGAGTACATGCCATGTTCCGCTTTCTCTGACGGTTTCTTCTTTTTCTCTCTCCCCTGCCTTTCCTCCTAGAAATTTCGGGTAGATATGCCAGGCTCAGGCAGCGCTTTCATCCCCACGATCAACGCCATCACGACCAGCCAAGACCTGCAGTGGATGGTGCAGCCCACCGTCATCACCTCCATGTCCAGCCCCTACTCCCGCTCGCACCCCTACAGCCACCCGCTGCCACCGCTGTCCTCGGTGGCCGGGCACACGGCCCTGCAGCGGCCGGGCGTGATTAAAACCATCGGCACCACCGTGGGACGGAGACGAAGGGACGAGCAGGTAAGCACAGCGGGGAGGATGACACAGGGCACGTCAGCAGCGGGCGTGAAGATTCCCCTCTGCGCCAGGGGAGTCCCCTGCTGCCTTCTCACGGCATCTCCCTGGCCCCACGGGGAGAGCCGAGGTCTGTCCCCTGCTCTGTACATGCGGGAGGGTTTCTCAGGGTGATGCACGGCGTGAGCTGGAGGGTGGCTTTCTCGCTGCTTCCTCAGCGTGCGGCACGACTTCACCAATCTCCATCAAAGGCTTCGCACCGCGGGGCCGCGTTGCGGCTCAGTTTCAAAAGCAGGTGAAACTCTCAAGTCGAGCCTTGGGTTTCAGTTTGAGTGTCTGCGCCGCTCCAGGCAGAAGGAAACCCCTGAGCTTTACTTAGGTCACTTACAAAACCGATGCCCGAATTACATCAGACTGGTGTTTTGTGTCAGAGCTCTGGCCACCTGTGCTGCTCCAAGTCTCGCTTTGGCTTTCAACCAGCATCATGCAGCTCCCCCAGTGCCAACCACCAGTGCCAACCAGCATCAGACAGCTCCCCCAGAGCCCTTCCAGTCTCACAGAAAGCCTCCGGGATGTCCAGGATCTAAATCCAGCCTCCCACCACAAGCATGCGATCTCCTGACCTCTTTACAGCAGCGATGCGGGCAGCCCACAGGCGCTGCCATCCTGGTAGTGTTCTCAGAGCTGGGTGGGGTGGCTGCTCCCACTGCTGCCCGTGCCCTTTCAAAGCAACTCTGAGTGATTTAGATCTCCCCAAATCATCCCCAAGCAGCAGTTATGTGGGTCACCACAGAGGAACGTAACAGGACGTGCCACGCACGCTCTGTGCACGAACAAGCTGCTGCGTGAGGCCTGTTCCTAATGAGACGTTGGCCCTACTTTTAGGCTTTTAGGTCTGTTTTGATCCACAGCCCGATTCTTTTGCATGGAGGGCACCTAGAGGTCCCGCTGAAGTCCTGCTTGTGCCGGGCAGGACAAGCCTGAGCCCCACGGGGGCTGGGTGAGGTACCGGCCTTCCAGGGCCCGTGTCCAAGGCCAGGGAAGCTCTCACGAGAACTGGGGGAATAATTAGCAGCGGCTAATTTGTTTGACAAATGCTGCTTCTGTGCTCACAAATTGGCCGTGAAGAGATCACCATATTCTCGGGTTTATTTGTTGTTGGGAGTTATTTGTGGGAGGATGCCTGCCAAGCAATTCCTGGCCTGTGGCTTGTTTGCAAGCCGCTCATTGCGGGTCATTCACATCCAAGTCCTTTTGATCAGACACGTGCTACGGCGGGACCTGGGCTGCTTCACCGTGACGCCTTGGCTCAGGTTTCCACTGCTGGTGCTCATGAGTGCCGAGCCCGAGTGCCTTTTTGGAAGGCCTTGTAGGAAAAGGGCCCGTCCTGATGAACGCTCCTGCCAGCGGCTGCACGCGCGGGGCTGGGACAAGCTACAGCCAGCTGCCTGCAGCAGGGGCACCAGCAGTGCCACAGCGAGCTGCTTGCAAACAAATCCAGCACCACTTTCACAATATTCCCTTTTAGACCTGCTCATGCTGTTCTGCATGACCAAATTAGCATCTTCAGCCCCATCTTTAAACAGCAGAGCCTCTGAGATAGGTAACTTGGAAGTGACTCAAGGCCCTGTGAGGACTAATTTTGGTCCCGATGTATTTCAGTGAGATCTGTGCTTCTAAACCACAAAAACACTCCTGAAAACTGTCTGCAGAAGAGGCCCCAAGTCAGCCCGGAGTTTGTGTGTGTGCCTAATGTTTTTCCCTGCAGACACTGGTGCACAAATACGCTCTAACCCCACACACCTACAGGGAATGGGGTGCACAGAGCCGTGCAGGGGTACCTGCTGGTGAAATCATTGCCACCGTGCACAGGGGCCCAGGAAAAAAAAGCAGAACAGAGTGAGGGGAATGCCCAGGGGCTGAAGTAAACTCCCTGAAACTGCAAAGATTGAAATTGGGGAAATGAAGCACACCAAAACAAACCAGAGTGAGGTTAGAGTAAAACTAACACTGAAAAGAAAAGACGGTAGAAAGGGTTGAATATCTTCTCGCAATTTTGACATCCCCGAAGATACTAAAACTGAAAGCTTTTATGAAAAGAGGTGTTTTCTTCCCCTTCTCTGTTGACAAATGCTCTGCTGGCCTGCCTGAGGAGGCTGAAGGGGCCGGCCCCGGTCAGAGGAGGCCGTGGCGTGGGGCACGCTGCTTGCTGCTGCTGGGATTTATCAGACCTTGTCTCCAGGCCCAGAAGCTAGGCCTGACCTCACTAGGTCTTGTGGGCTCCTGCTCACTTCCTCTGGTGTCGCAAGAATGTAACTCTATGGGTTTCTGTGGAATTGCTCCCGATTTACATCAGAGAGGATGTCAGCTGGCCTCAGGAAGCCCTTGGTATCGCTGGAGCCTTGCCTGCTGATGCGAGAAGCGCAGCCTGTTATCTCGCTGAGTGCTCCAAAATCTGAGGTCAGATTTTGGGGTGGTACAAATAATTGTTGCTTCACTGACTTCTTGAGAGTTCTGCTGATCTCTCTCTCCCTCTCCCCCCACCCCATCCCCGACCTTCAAGCTAACAACTATTTTTGTGTGGGAAGCAGCAGATATTTTCTTTCAAGAACGAGGCACTTACAACATCGCGCTCTGGTTTTGCTTAATGTACCACCCAAGTTGTGAAACAATCAGAGCATCTTTTATCTGTTTGGCCTTGGTGCAGATTCACTGTCCTCTTACACAATCTTCCCCCTGCTCCCCGCTCTGCCATCTCCTCACCCTTCTGCTGAGACCCGGTGCTCGCAGAGATACCGTGCGCTTTCATCTTCTGCTGACACCAGTGCAGAGGGGGAGTGCTGAGCATCCTGCTGGATCAGGCCTTTTTTCTGTGCGGTGCGGTTAAATCCTCACAAACTTCAAGGAATGCCTTGCTCAGATCTGATTGTGGGTTTTCTTGGCACTTGCCCACAGCTGTCGCCCGAGGAAGAAGAGAAGCGAAGGATCCGGAGAGAGAGGAACAAGCTGGCAGCTGCTAAGTGTCGTAACAGGCGTCGAGAACTAACAGAGAAACTCCAGGCGGTACGTGCTCTGCATGCGTTTCTCCCTCCTTGTCGCTCGCCCTTCGGACCAGCTTGCAGGGCTTTGCTGTCCCTCTTCTAGCCTGTTTGGGGAAGATGCTGCAAAACACACGCTGCCTTCCCCTTCCAAGGCTGCCTAGTGATGTTGCTCCTATATAGCAGTGGTGGTGAGGGCTCAGCAGCCTAAATTCCTACTGCTGGCTGCCCAAAGCATCTCAGGAGCTCTCTTCCTGTGTAGCCTGCCATCTAGCACGCATCTTCCTACCTCTGGTCTCCCTCTGTATGTGAAAATATAGACGCTGCGTGCCTCAGATGAAAGCCTTGAGGACAAAAGCATGCAAGACTTCAGGATCATCTGAAAGCAGAGGGAAAGGAGGCAGTGTTATGTGCACCTCTCAAAGCCGTGTCATTTAGGCTAACCTGTCTCTGGAGGGGGTAATTGATCTTCTGCCCAAAGGAAGCTCTGCAGAGATGTATGGCTTGGTGCCATAGGGGAATAACTTGTTATGCTAGAGAAGGTGGGGATGACTGCAAGAACTGTGGCGTGGGTAATGGACTGACTGAAGAGGAGGCAAGGATGGGTTGCGTTGAAAGAGTCTGTAGGGAAGACTCCAGTACTCCTCTGAGAAGCAGCCCGGGGTTGGTTGTGTTTGATGATGGTATTAAGAATCACAGGAGTGAAAGCACAGCACTCAGCTGTGCTGCTGACTCAAATTTGGGAGGTCCTCTCTGTGTAGAGGAGGCAGGACAGCGTATAGTAAGAAGTTAAGGATTCTCATGACTAAACTAATGCAAGTGAGAGGAGTACAAACTGGGAGGTCATATCCTGAAGGACCGAGGGTGAGTATTTCTGTGAGCTCCTCACACAGGAAGATACTAATTGCTCACAGATTGACGATGAGCCACCAGTGGGATGTGACCGTGGGAAAGGTAAATAAAATAATCCTAGGATGCATCGAGGGATGATGATGCAGCAGAAATGAAAGTTTTAGTCCTTTGTACGAGTAGCAGGCAAGACCTCATCTGGAATACGAGCTACAGAAAGAAAAATGGAAACAGTTTAGAGATTACTGTATACTACCTCTGTCTAGGAAATGAGAAGAACATGACCTAACTCTAACAAAATACAATGAGAAGGGATCTGAGTCCTCTCTGCTAAAGTGTCTGGCAGGCAGACAGCAAGGGCAAAGCAGTACTTAAGCCACAGAACAAGACAGAGTTGTAGAGGCTGGCTGTGAGGAAGCTAGGGCGGGCTCTTGAGAAGACCATTTATAACCCTTAGATTGGTGAAGCTTGGGAATAGCCTCCTGGTAGACAAAGGAAATTCAAAATACTCAACTAGCAGTGACCTGGTGCTTGCTTGGTTCATGACAAGGCTGGGGCGTATCTGCCCATGCCAGCTGGGAACTGGGCTTGGTGGCCATGTTCTAGGTGAGGAACGGTGCCAGAGCCTCTGATACTGACTTATTTCCCCTTTTGTCTGCAGGAAACTGAGGTGCTTGAGGAGGAGAAGTCAGTGCTGCAAAAAGAGATCGCTGAGCTCCAGAAGGAGAAGGAGAAACTGGAGTTCATGCTGGTGGCTCACAGCCCTGTGTGCAAAATCAGCCCTGAGGAGCGCCGGAGCCCACCCTCCAGCAGCCTCCAGAGCGTTCGGACTGGAGCGAGCGGAGCGGTGGTGGTGAAGCAGGAGCCTGTGGAGGAAGAGATCCCGTCTTCCTCTTTGGTCCTTGACAAAGCCCAGAGGTCTGTCATTAAGCCCATCAGCATTGCTGGAGGTTTTTATGGGGAGGAGGCACTCAACACTCCCATCGTGGTGACCTCGACACCAGCCATCACTCCTGGCTCCTCCAACTTGGTGTTCACCTACCCCAATGTCTTGGATCAGGAGTCTCCTCTCTCCCCGTCCGAGTCCTGCTCCAAAGCTCACCGGAGGAGCAGCAGCAGCGGTGACCAGTCCTCGGATTCCTTGAACTCTCCCACCTTGCTGGCATTGTAATCCCCCCGTGGCCCCCCATTGCCAGTGTGTTACACCCCCCGCCCAGCTCCATGGGGGGAGCCCCTCTCCATGGGATTAGAGACAGGCACAGGATCGTTCAAGCACAAGGGCAGCAAGAACAAGGATGGGGAAATGCTGCAGCTCCAGGAAGGAGAGTGAGGACCAACGTCAGCTCCCTGGAGGCAGGAAACGGCAAGGGTGGGACTGACGCACCGGGACTGTTTGGAGAGGGCGACGTCCCCTCTGTAGGGACTGCCTATGGAAACCTCTTCTCAACCGTAATGGACTCGGGGAACACTCCTGGCCAGGACGGAAGGCGAGCTGCAGACAGTTGCTAGTCGTCCCTTTCCTTTGTGAATTGATCTGATCGGTTATGCTCTGTGCTTAGATCATTCTGGTTAGTTGACCTTACAAGTTCTTCTTTCCCCCTCTCTCTCTCTCTCTCTCTGCTTATCATTTCCAATGTTGTCGATCCCATGACATTTCATCCAGTTGCTTTGAAGTCTAAAGGCTTGTTAGGATCTTTCCTCTTGGGACAGGCTGTGGGAAACTTTGCCCGGGCGGGAGGGGGATGGCCAGGAGCTGGTGGGGGGACCAAGAGGAGCCCAAGGGCTCAGTAGCAAGGGCAGAGCTCATAACTGTGCCCTGTGGCACAGACACAGTGAACAGAGAGAGCGGGAGGCTCGTGTGGAAGCCTTTTTTTCTTAAAAAGTAGATATATCTGTCCCCTGGGCTCCTCGAAAACCAAGTTAGCATCTCAGGGCCAAAGTAGCACCAGAAAAGCTACTGGGTTGGCACTTACCAGTGTCTTTGGCAGGGTTTTAACCCCAACTTGGTAGATACCAAATCTGCTGCTGGACTCATTGTTTACTTTTCCTGGGCTGCCTGCTCTCTCGAGAGCATTGCATCTTTCTCCCCGTCAGGGCTCCTGACTCAGATGCTGATCTCTTTCTGTCAGTAAAATCCTCCCCTCCCCTTGGCCATATTCGCAGACCACGCTACCAAAAAAGTGGCGCCGTGTGCTGTAAATCCAGGAGACTGGCAGCGGATAAGGAGGTGAAACCACCTGGTTGTGCCCTCGCTGAGTTTTTCCTCATTGGGAAACAAGGCAATGCAGATCCACACAGCTGGTACGGGCAGGTGGTGTTTGCTCAGAGCTCCTCAGTCTCTGAAGCTGGGGCGAAGGCAGGGGTCCAGCCTCCAGCACGGGCCTCAAGGAGCTCCTGACCAGGCAGCGGTGGCATAGCTGATCCCATGGCCTGCTCAAGCAAAACCAGAGCTTCTGATAACATCTGGTGCGACTGGCAAATTGACACTGGAAGGAAATCAATTACCATTATTTGCACCTCGGTCATTGGCCTCTTTTATGTTTTGCCATGTAATTGATCTGGTTTTGTTGGGGTTGACTGGCCTGAAGATCCGAAGCCAACCAGGGGGCTCTTCCTTCAGCTTTGGGTCCTTGTCTTCTCCAGCCACCTCTGGGCTTAGCGCTGATGTTTGCTACTGAGAAGCGGTCCCGTGCGTGACCTGTTCCTGCCTGGAGCCAAGCTCAGGCCCTGGCGATGTCAAGGCACTGATGAACCATGACCTTGTGCACACGAGGACTGCTCAGCTTGCCAGCTAAGCTGCTCATGGGATAGCTCTTTAGGCCAGGCTGTTGAAGCTGTGGTGGCAGCTATTTATTCTGATGTGAGCTTTTCTTTTTTTCTTTCTTTACTTCTTTTCTTTTTTTTTAATTGGCTGAAACTTCGGGTATTTCTTGGTCAGGCTGGACCTGGAGAAATGCAATATGCAATGACAGGGCCAGTGCTGTGAGATGCTAAACTGCTGCAGTCCCTGCCAACTCCGCTGGGAATTAATAGGGCTCAGTCTTGCAGAGCAAGACCTTTGCTCAGCAGGGCTGGATTCCCTCAAACCCTGGCCAATGCCTATTCCTTGAGTCATTTCAAAGTGACACTACTTTGGCTGTAAAGGTAGACTTTGTTTTCTTTTTCTTCCACCCCCCACCCCAAAAAATTATTACTAATTTTAAACCCAGGTATTTGCCAGAGCTGCCAGAAATATAAAGATATGAGCGATCTTTTTCCTTTGTAAAACTGATTCAGTAATTCAGGCTTTTCCTTTCTTGCTTAAACATTTCCATCTTTATACCAGTGCTAGAGGTTTCAAATTGAGCTTAGTAAGTAAAATTGATACAGGAGTCTGTTTGTCCTTAAATGATAATCAAAGCTTTTTCTTTTTTTTTTTTTTTTAAATAAAGTAGACATTAAAATTTCGGTAGTTAGCACAGAGGATCCAGTTCTCACGGGGTTTTATGTAGATGATGTCACTTTAGGTGAAACCACTGTTTCTCTAATTGTCTCTGTTCTGCCAGGTGCTTGTTTGGGCCAGTCTGCATTGGGAATGTAAGACTGCTCAATAAAATGTCTCTACATGTCATTTCCACCCATTGTGGGCAGAATGCAGCACAGACAAATGGTGAATCCTAAAGTGACACAGACATTTTTGAGGCCAGCTGATCAGGACTGCTGGCAGGTCAGGAGCATTCCTGCTAGGGGCTTTAGGAAGTCAGCTGCCTCCTCAGACCTAGGTAAGCCTAACTCCTAGGGGGACAATGAAAACATCTGAAATACTGTTGATCCTCCGTAACAAATAATCTTTTAATATATTGCTTGTCCCCTTTTTGCTTGCAGTTCAGGTGTGTTGACCATCTTGTCAGCTGCGTATCTGTCTGCTGGGCAAACAAGCACTTTTAGAGGTGTGATTGCAAGTTTCTTGGAAAGGAAAAGGCTTATCTAGCTCTGACAAGTAGGCAGGTGGCATAATCCAATCGCATTTCTGAAAAAATCCTTAGGTGTGGCCTTCCCTGCACGCAAGCCCCGTATCTGCCAGCCTCCAAACGCTATCCCAGCAGAGATGTTTGTTTTCACATTTGGCCCTGTCCTCTGTGATAGCCCCGGATTGGTCTCTACAGGTTTCTTCAGCTTTTTTTTTTTCTCCTCCCCAGATAGAAAGTTCTCATCCTAGACAGGAAGGTTTCAAATAAAGGGCCTTGCCGTTCACCTATACCCTCTCCTAATCCCTTTGGGAGAGGCGTGCATCCCAAGGAAGGCTGTGATTCCTACCTTTGCTTCTGCTCACTGAATTGTTGCCAAAAGGAGCTGCTGCTGGCCCTTGCCCACTGCCTGTTGACTTGTCATGGACCTTCTCAGAGGTGGGGCAGGAGCATCCCCTTTCCTGTCCTGTGAGACTGATGGGAGTGGTTTCAAACTGCCGAGAAAAGGGAATCACTGTGCTGTCTGAAAGAGCCCTGAACACCTTGTGCCTCCCCGTTTTCTCCCTCAAGCCTCTTTGAGGATGTCTGTGTTAGGACCGCTGGTCTCCTGCCTTCTGTATTTTGTGGATCAGCCTTAACTTTGTTTAGCTGTTGGCAGACAGGTACAGCTTGAAGTCTCCTGCTGTTTTGGTCTGGCTCTGCACACTTCTCTTCAGGTTTGCTGGTGTGCTTTTGGGAATCTTCCCCACCCCTGAAATGGTATTTTCCTTGAGTACCTTACCTGACGCTTCCTAAACGTACAGGAATTTCCTAAATGTGCCTCCACGTTCTTCTGCATGCTCTGGGGATGCGGGAGCTGTTGTAACCAGCATCTAACCAAAAGTTGTTGAAGTCAATAGCAAAAGGCCCAGGGAATTTCAGCTGGTGTTAGGCTGACCCCCTAGAGACTGGCCCAGTGAAGCATCTAACGACACCTGAAGTTAATCAATGCCCAACTGGGAGGAGCAGTAGCAGCCGCACTGAAGGAAACATTCAGCTTCTAGGTGATGTTTGCCATTCCAGTTTTGCCCTCGTTGTTCCTTCCCCCTCCCTGGTTGTGGCATTGCTTTCATCTATTCCTTTCTTGTAGGTGTGGAGACTGGGTAAGTCTCAAAGTGCTTGTGGTGTGACGGGATTTGGGACCAACCTGCTGGGGACAGTAGCTCTCTGTTGTGTTTTTATAATTATTATTTAAATGATCTATTTAGTTCATCTGAACCTTTAATTTTGCTGCTTACTGTATGTAGGATCCACCTGGCCTTCATCCTAAATGAAAAACAAAAACAAAAAACCTAAGACACCCCCCCTCCCTGGTATCTTATTATTTATTGGCAGGCAGCCATTTTGTGCCTGCTCCAGCAGATCTGCCCGCCATTAATTTAACATCCTCCCAACTCCCATTCCTGGTGTTTGGTTGTTGCTTTTTTGCTTTTTGTTGTTGATTTTTTTCTTTTCTCATTCTAAAACAGACTTCTAAAATGTAAGAAACCTTATTATTTTGACACTTACAAGTTCATTTTCATTAGGAAGGCCAAGTCAAACATTTTAAGAGGTGGGGGGAACAATCTACTTTTATTTCTTATTTATTTATCATGTTTACATCTTTTTTTTTTTCTGTTCGAGACTTGGATATAATAAAGAAAGCATTAAAAGTACTCCCATCTTCTTCTTTTTTTTAGGATAATATTTTTTTCCTATTCTTTAAATAAAAGATTCTGGGTTTTGTTGTCTGTATAAAATGTAAAAAGAGATATGTTTCTAAAGATGCATTATCATTCCTCTGTGAACAGTAGGTGGAGTTGAGGACAAATCTCAGAATACAAGATAATAATAAAATCCCATCCTGTTTTACTTAATTGTTCCCCTCCTATCCTGTATGATTAAAGGGTTATTCCACTTTCTTGTTTGTGGTTACTTGATATTAAAACCATATTAAAATGTGTAGAAAATAGGTATCCAATTGTTTTTGCTCAGTGAGAGGATAAAATGTTGTATATATCTTGATATACTGTGTAGTTCAAAGTAACATCAATAAGGGATAGTGCATCTTTATTAGAGCGATAAGTTACTAGTGTCACTAAAGTCTACTTTAAGATCCTCAGATATAGAAAGGGCCTGATTCTGAGTCCACTTTCCTGTGGAAGCTGAAAGCATCAGCAGCATTTCGCTGCTGCAAAGCGAGTGTCAGAGGTGGAATCAAGCCTCAGCGATTAGTATCTGACCATGAGGATAATTGAAGGTTTGGGGGCACCATTATCTTTTTTTCCTCAAAAGTTTTAGCTCATGGTTTTTCTTTTTTTGTCTGCAGTGAAATAGTTTCTGCCAAGGAGGTTCTTAAAGGTGACTGCTGAATTGGGACCCTTCTTTGCTCGTTGTGATCTTGGTATCGTTCTTGCAGTCCTGGAGAATCTCAGCTCTGAGGTGTTCTCTCTGGTGTTGTCTCTTCTCTGTTCTTGTTATTTTACTGTAATACAGGCCTACAGTATTTGCACTAAAACAAAAAGCTTGTTAGAGAAAGCTTGCTGCTATGAAAGAAAGAACATATTAAAATGGTTTTGCTTTTACAATTTTAACTGAGTAGCATTTTGTAGAATAAAATCAATTTAGATTGAAAAGAAAAATGACTTTTCTTTTTTCCTCTGCACTCCCTCCCCCATACTCCTTTCTTTCTTTCCCGTCCCTAGGTGGTGTGATGGTTTCCCCCCTCCCCTTCTCCTTTGGTGCTCAGTTGTAATGATTGGCTGTATTGTTGACTATGCTGCTGAGAGTTATGACACTTGTAAATCTTGTTTTAATGACATTGTGGACACTCTTTTGTATAGCAAGAGCTAACTGGAGTTCTTCTCTCTCTGTTAATTGAAGTCATTAAAAAGCTCCCTTTGCCATGAACAATTAAAAGCTTGCATGTTCCTTCAATATGAACAAATGGGTACAGCATTGCCAGGTGCCCGACTGTAGCACATTTCAGGGCTTCTTTCATTAGAGCAGCTGCAATCCAGACAGCTGTTAGTGGCAACAATGGTAAATGGGGCAGAGGCTAGCAGAACAGACCACCTGGGCTAAAAGGCAAATAATGCATTAATCCTTTCATCTTTGCTTCAAAAAGAAAGGGATAGAACTAGAAAATGCATGCTGAGGTGACCTTATTATTTTAATTATTTTTTTTTAATCCACTTGCTTCAGCCAGAAGGACTCAAAGCTTCTGCTCTGAAAGCTTGGGGTGGGGTGGACACCACGGCTGCTTCACTGGCAGTGAGCAGGAAGTTAATATGCAATTGCCTGGCTCTCCTGGGAAAAGCTGCAGCCTCTGGAGTGGAAGGAACCCAGACACGCCAGGTTAGGAGTGGACGATGTCGTATTCAAGTAAAAATACAGTGGTGGGGAGGAGATGGTAGGTGAGTCATGGTTAGCCAAGCTGGCGTCAGGCCAAGCTGCTTGTTACTCATGGGTTTCCTTAGCAGTAATGTCTACTTTGGCTTCCTGCTGGTCCCTGTCCCTGTCCTCTCTCTCTCTCTCTCTTTTTTTTTTTTAACCCCTGTGTTCTCACAGTGCCATAGGGGAAGGTGATGAGAGATGTCGGTGTGACTTCTGTGGCTTGTGCTTGAAAATACCTGTGAAGTCATGGGGAATGCTGAAGGTATCAGTCACCAGAGTGGGGAATACGTGCACACGCCTGGTGAAGTGAGCTCAGCGGTCAGGAATCCCTGTTGTAGGAAAGCTGACATGAAGCTGGCATGGGCTGGAGCCGGCTTTGGGGTGCCCCGTGGTGCTGAGGATGATGCAGTGAAGGACAGCCTTTGGGAGGCTTTTTCCAAATATACTTGTCCTGGTGGGGCTGAAGGAAGATAGTTATTCTTGGGGGGGTGGCAATTAAAAGGAAATATGCTGAAGGATCCATCATTTAATGTCTATCTCCTCAGAGCCTCGGGCATCGGGGAGTCTCCATTTTATCTGCTACTACACGTAACCTTTCCTGAAGGGGAGTGCCTCAAGGGTTTCCTGCCTCACTAAGGGCTTTCCCATCACACTGATGCACAGAGGCGTCCAGCCCCAAGTCTGTAAAACCAGCTCCTCTGGCAGCATCTCCCCTTTCCCACCCCCTCCCAAAAAATGGCTAACAGAAGGATATGTCCTTGCGTGCCTGCTGCCACCCTGAAGTGCTCCCTGAGCTCCTGAAAGCTGGCAGAGCCCTTTGAAAAAAGGGGTTAACGATGTTTGACTGCAAATGCTGGTTGCAAGGCCGGGCCTCCCACCTGATTTCCTTCCAGCACCGACTGGTCGCGACTGTCTTTTGTCACCATTAGCTCACAGGTGCTGGAATGTCCGCACCGGTTACCATCATTTGGTTTTGAAAGATGAAATTACACAGCTGAGCAAACTGCTTCCCACCAGTCTTCTAGCTGTGGGAGGCTGAATTCTACCACATTGACATGGAAATTGTGTTTTTCCCGACATCCCCATCTTGGTTTAGATCTCCACTTCATGTAGGGAATTCCCCCTCCCTCTTAAACAGGCTCACCTCCCCCCACCCTGCCATGCTCAGATCTTGTTGTGCAAGTGAGGGATCTGGTTGTTATCACGGGGAGAGTGTTTGCTCCCCAGCGGAGTCGTGCTGGAGGGGAGGTTGCCTGTTCCTTTTGCAAGGAAAGGATGCAAAAGCCATCTGTGCCTACAGCTGGGTTGTGATCAGTTGGCGACCGGATGGCATTTTTACTGAGTACATGGATTAAGAGAGGCTCCCTGTTCTCTTTTACCTGTCCATTCCCTGTCATGCTAGACTCATCCCTGATTTTTCCTCATGGTCACATTTCTTAGTGAAGTTCCAAGAAGCGGTTCATCTCCCTGGGCAGCATGTGAGGTCTTCTTGCACATTCAGAAGTTTCTTTCCACAGCTCTAGCATAACCTTGTGTTTTCTGCTGCTCTCTGATGGAGGGGAGACCCTACCTGGGTTAGGTCTTTTGTGGCAAAAACAATCCCAGAAGAGTGACCTGAATGTATTACACCAGAGGCAGCAAGGTGTCACAGGAAGGTTTTTTGGTGGTGGTTTTATTTATTTTTTTTTCCATCCTCTTACTTAATTTGGTCTAGAATCTGCATGAGCAGCTACAGGAACACTGCAGAAATTCTGCAGCCAATGGAAAGAATAAGTCTGTGCTAAACTTTAAGAAAGCTTAATGGCAAGTGGAGCTGGAGTGGGAGTGTGGGGGAAAGGAGAACATCCAGAATGCTGGTTTGAAGTGATGTTTCCACTGTCATGTGGGAAGGATGTGACAGAGGAAAACTGTGACATGGTTATTGCATCAGATACATTGAAGTGGAACAAATGATACTTCTTTTTTTTAAAAGAAAAGAAAAAGGAAAAAAATACCTTATGGTCCTACTCCTACTTATGACCATGACCTGATCCTCCTGAAGTTTCATTTCGTCATAACAAGTTCTCAAGTTCCATTGCAACAGTGCAGTGTTTTCTGCCCTGCCTCGCGTGGCACGAGAGGCCCCCATCCAGCTGTGTTTGGCCACTGTTAGCATCAGGAGATAGATTATCAATCTGTGTGGAAGCTGCTGGCACGCTCTCATAAGGCTGAGGTTTAAAAGAAGGTTTTTAATGTGTGTTCCGGTGCAGTGAGATCTAAGACACCTCAGGAAGACTTTCCTCGAAGAAGAAAGGACGAGGCTCCCAGGGAGGTCATGGAGTCTCCCTCCTCAGAGATACTCAAAACGTAGGTGGACGTTGCTCTGAGCAACCTGCTGTAGGTGGTCCTGCATGAGCAGAGGGCTGGACTAGACAATCTCCAGAGGTGCCCACCATCCTCAAGCAATCTGCATTTCTGCTTTTGACTCTATGTAGCCTAGAAGTTCTGTATTGCAAGCATATTTCTTTTCCCTTCTGCAGCGTTATCGCATTTGAACTACAGAATTCCTCTGTACTAAATATCAGCTTTCCTGATACTGGTTATGTGAGGTCAAACAGATAAGAACTAGGCTGGGAGGAGGATATCATGGCAGACAAGAATGTAAACTGTTCAGCATGCCACAGTGTGAGTCTCAGATTTCTCTTTTTATTTTGCATGCTCTGTTCCACAGACTAGTGTGGGGGAAGAGAGGGAGACAGGCCTTACATGGCTGTAATCTACAGCCTGCATCCCACAAATGACTGTACAACTCTGCAAGCTCATAGGCAGTGCCAGTACCCATTGCCTATTTGCCTTTTGTGGGCTCTCATACTTTTTTTTTCCTCTCTCAGGAATAAGTTTTTCAAGTTTCCAGGAAAGGTAAACTTGGATCTACAACCGGTGAGCTTAGGTGGGTGCGTGGGTCAGGCAGGCTCCATCAGCTGAGTGTGCACGCTCCCTCTGGTCTCCTTGCCCCCTTTCTGTAACCCTAACTGGGCTCCCAGGCTCAGCAGCATTCATCAGCGTCTCCCAGAGATGACACACACTGCTGCTGGGGGTTATTGATGTGAGCATCCACGGCAGGACACAATGTTTGTTTTGGGCAGAAGGAAGAAATAAGTCAGGGTTTTTCCTTTGAGGAGCTCCGGTTATTCAAGTGCTGGATGCTCTAACATGGGCAGAAAGGTACATTTTACCAAATTCATAAAGCACAGCCCTGCTCTGACCTCTCAAAGCCAGGGCTTAGTGCACCAGTCATAGGCAATGCCTCTCGCAGCAGGAGCCAGCCTCCGTAGCCTTCGTCCTGGGCTGATGAGAACTGAGCTGCAATCCTCTGCTCCTCCCTGCCTGCTACGGGTCATGGGGGTGATGGGAGATGTTAGCTGCCTTTTCTAGCCTCCAATTCAGTGTTGTGTTTATGAGCCACGAGGACTGTGATTAAATCTCTACTCTGAGCAATGTTCTGAGGCCATACTGGTATCTAATTACCTTCTGCACTTCTGGCAGCTGAGGAAATGAAGATCTGTCTGTGACACTGTCTGTGGTGAAAGGGAAGGAATAGGAAAGGAGAGTGACGCCTTCAAAACATCGGCTTCAGGTGCTTCCCCTGGCTCTGCGCGTGTTCTTCAGCTGGCACCTGCAGCTGGGATGAGTGCTCACCCTGCAGCAGTGCTCTTCCTCCTCCCTGCTCCTGTCACCCTGATGCAAAAGCCATCACCCCTGTCCAAGCCTTTCCCCGGTTGCTGCAGGGGTCGAGGTTGTGCAGTGGGGGCATGGAGCAGAAGTAGCTGTGCAGTAAGGGTTTTGGCAGCCCACAGACCCCAAGACACAGCATGACTGTAGGAGGTCTGTGGCAGCATGGACCCTCCCAGAACATGGCTTTTGAGAGTATGGTTGGCTGCTGTGGCTGGGTAGGTCTGTCCTCTACCTGCGGTGGCTGTCCCTGTTTGTTGTTTTTTTTTTTTTCACTAGACACCAACTCTTAATTTCCCAGTGCCGCTTCTACCGTTGCTCCATGGACGTGTTCCTGGTGGTGGTGAAGGAGAACCATTTCCACCACAGGGCCGTATGAGGGGCCAAATCCTGTGACCTGTTGCCACTGGGGAAATCCCTCCTGTGTAATCCCTCCCGTGCAGCGGATCCGCCTGCCCAGCAGGATCAATGGCGCCATCTCGGCCCCATTATGTTGACTCCGAATCAGTGAGGAGCGCCAAGGAGCTGGGAGGAGAGGGCTCCTCCCTGTGTGGGGCAGCGCTGCTGGCCCAGGACAGGCAGGTCTTCCTTTCCTCCCCCCAGTTTTGGAAGAGGTGGTGAAGCATTTGGCTGCTCTTGGGCTAGCCCCGACCCTCCAGGGGGATGGGTTGAGCCCCTGTTAGGGCACGTGCCAGGCTCCCCAGCCCCAGAAGCGTACATGGGTGCCTTCCTGCTGATCCCAGCCAGCTCTGCTGGCAGGTAGAGGCAGGGGTGGGTCTTGGAGCCATTTCCAGTCAGCAGGCAGGCCCTGA